GTGAGAAGAAATTGATATTCATGTTAATATTATTTTACTATGTGGTTCTTTTTCTGGCTACGATTTATTTTGCCAACCCTCACTAGACCTACTTTTTTCAACGATACGTCAAATGATTCATTTAAGTTTATGATATTTAAGTTAATGATTAGTTTAAGTTATTACTCTTAAAAATCAAAAAAATATTCCTTATTCAAATAAAAAGTAGCTTAACTAGATTTGTCCATACAAACAATTAAAATCATTAATTTTTAATATTCTTAAATTATTTATTGTCGAATTAAATTTGATATGATAAAAGTATTCAACTACAAAAGTAAATAATTTTACTTTATAATTTATTAATTTTTTAACTCTATTTCTGTGTGCTACTACCAGTCTATAATATGCCAAATTTTTTAGTAATATTTTGCTATATAAATCATAAATTTAAAAAAAAAATGATTTTTAGTTTCACCTGAAGTTAACGATGGAGTTTTACAATTATAATTATATTTTTGATAATATGCTCAATTGAGTAAATCTTTTTAACTACTTTGGTTTGATTGGTTCATTTAATTAAAGTAAATTATTAAAATTAATTAAGTTCTGAATATTTCAATTGCAGAATTTTTTTAAACACCAAAAGTTATTAGGATATGATTACTATTCTTTCTATTTCAGTTATCTATTACGATAAAAATGTAAAAAAATCGAATTTTTCTGACAAATGTACTGTAATTAGTAATTATAAAATTTCCAGATTGCATATTAATCTTAAAAATTTCATTTTTTTCAATTTAATAATGTCAATTTCAAACTTGCAAGTTGAACTATAAGTTATGGTAACAAATTCATTTTTTAGCTTCGATGCGAAGCTGAGAAGGTATTTTTCATTAAAACTTTCACTTTAAAAGACAATAAAAAATAGGTTCAAAATGATTACCTTTAACATATTAAAAATCAAAATCAGTATTAATTTAATACAATTTTTTTTGTTCTTAATTATTTTTTTTTATATGTAAATACTTATTTTTTAATAATAAGTAATAATATTAAAACTTAGAAGTAATAGAAAAAGTTTAATTGCACATTTGAAAACATCACGAAAAGTTTATTTAGAAAAGTATATTTTTTTTCTGATGAAAGTTCCTTTTGTTTAGTGTATTTATTCATAAGTAACAAAATTTTTTTATTAAAAAGTATTGCATAAATTCCTTTAAATTTGTATACGCATTAAAAGTATATGAATATACAACTCCTTTTTATTTTTATAATATCTCCGTAAAAATTACAATATTATATTATTGAATACCACTTTCATACTCAATTTAATTACTGTAATTATTATGTATTCATATATTATAGTTATAAATCGGGGTAAAATTAAGGGAATAAGTGTTATTGTTGTTTTTGAAATAATCTACCAATTTCATTTTTTTCTATTTAATAATATTTATTTCAAACTTGCAAGTTGAGTTAAAAGTTATGGTAATAAATTCATTTTTTTTTTATTAAAACTTTCACTTTAAAGAACAAAAAGAAGTAGGTTCAAAATGATTACTTTTAACATATTAAAAATCAATAATAATTTGAAAATAATTAATTATAAAAATTATATAATATATAATTAAAATAATTACTAATCTGGATATAATTAAGGAAATAGGAGTTGATGTTGGGTTGGGTTGGTTACATTTTTAACTTTATAATGCTATAACTCATTGAAAAGTGTACGAATCAACACAATTTTTTTATGAGAAATAATATTTTTTAATAATCCCTTTTTCATTCGACATACTTTATCTTAATCAGGGTATTAATAAGAAACTAGCAGATAATGTAGCTTTTGTAATTATCCACCAATTTCTTAGAATTAAACACTATCTACTGATTTGCATCGAAGCGTTTCTTATGATAGTGATTTTAATCACTGTCAGATTAAATCTATACTGGACCCAACTATGCAACATCCCCACTATGCCGCGACCCCACTGTGCTGGGTTTTTTTATTTATGGTTTATAATTTTGTTTTTAATGATAACTAATATTTTTCATATATTAAACTATAGAAATTTTTTTGAAAATTTTCTTAACTAGTTTTCCCATATTTAATAATCATTAATAAGTATATTATAAGAGTTAATTATCCTTAGAAGTTGTTTCAAAGGGAATATTTTTTAACTTATAGATTATAAAATTTATTATTAACTGGTTAATAGCCTTTTGTTTTAAATATGACAATGAAAAAAATTAGTTAAAACGAGAAATTAGTTATTGTTCTTCAGTTGCGTACCTAAAGTAATTTTTAATGGGCTGCTACTAACCGAGTCCCCAAGAAACCTTTTTTTACGACTGCTGCCCCACCAGATAATGAAGTTTAATAACTAAGAACTTTACACATATTCAACTAAATAATACATTTACAATAATTAAAATCTTGCAAGTTAAAATTCAAGTGATAACTTTTTACTTATTCAAATCTTGAAATTTAATTCTGGAACTCTTTCAAAAGAAAATTGAAGTTAAAGAAAATTGTATCACTCCTTCAAAATTTGTGAATACTTTTTATGTTCATACGTATGGCTGTTTAAAAGTTACACGTGTACACCGATCATACCTCACGTTGTTTATCATCAGCCACCCTGTCCGCTTAACTACGCCACTCCGATCAGTAGCGTCCGGCACAATCGGCACATTAGTTGTTCGTGTGTATATCGTACCATAGGATCAGCTGACTCGTTGCCAATATTTTGTTGGTTGGTTTGTATCGACCTGTCCAGGGAAAAAACCGACAGTTTCTCTCATCCGTTACGTGCTAACACGTGAGTGGACAACGATAATCACGATCAGCGGACGTTGGCATTCCATACTTCCAATTTATCGGGAAGCGTTCGGCGACCATTCGACATCAAGTGGCGGGGTTGGGTTGACGGATGACNCGTGTGTATATCGTACCATAGGATCAGCTGACTCGTTGCCAATATTTTGTTGGTTGGTTTGTATCGACCTGTCCAGGGAAAAAACCGACAGTTTCTCTCATCCGTTACGTGCTAACACGTGAGTGGACAACGATAATCACGATCAGCGGACGTTGGCATTCCATACTTCCAATTTATCGGGAAGCGTTCGGCGACCATTCGACATCAAGTGGCGGGGTTGGGTTGACGGATGACTGTATGATGTTTTTAAGTCGTTGTTAATGTATTACTATCTTAAATTTATTAATTTATGTATATATATATATATATATATATAATAGAATGGTGTGTGTAAGCAACATTTAATGGGTTGTCTTCCCGTTGTTCGCCTTTTAAGTGTAGTGTGGAGGAAGTAATGAACAATGTTCCTGTGCATATCCACCTCAGAACGAAATCATAACTACGCCACTGATTGCACATTTATTAAATTATTCATAAATTGATAAATGTTTGGATGGGCATAATAAAACGTAGAACTGAATTTAGAACAGAAAGATTCACAACTGTTTGTGGTACTTGTCAATGAATTTATAATTCAGGCCCACATTTTAAAAGGAAAATACGAGCTACCACGTTTGTGATTTTCTAAAATATAATCATTGACATCATAAGGGCTAAAAAAATAAAGTCAGATAAGTAATTTTAAAAAGTACCCAATAATGAACTTTTATTTTAATGTTCTGTCTTATGTATTAGTGATTTAGGATTTGTCTACATTATGCTTGTTCAAAATGAAATCGACAACCTTTATGTCGGGCTGACGACCAAACTTTAGATTAAAAACTAAATTTTGTTTTTGGTTTCCCAAAATGATCATTTCAAAAGCAGCCTCATTTATTAGTTTATTATCAATTGGATTGTTGAATTCGTTTAATCTACAGGAGGACTTAAAGTTATTTTTGCAACAAGTCCAGCGTTGAAAATTGTTGAGACAAACTATTACGAAAACTAAACCGGTTCTACGGGAGTCATATACATAAGCAATTTAGTATCTGGTCAACTCTTCACCGGTTAATTCAATGCGATTTTAAATTAACTAAATAATATAATTTAGGAGAATAAAAACAAATACATATGTCCTCCTACAAAAAAATCCAATTGTAAACATTTTTTTTACTTTTGTATTTTATTATACTGACAAAGACTGGTTAATTTTTTTTTTTTAAATAAACGTTTATTAAACTTAAAATTAATGTATTTATTTCATTATTAAAAACATAAAATTTTGGTAGTTATTGAAGCCTCCCCTAACAATATTGATTGCTAATCAAACATTTTAACTACCCACTTAAAATAAAAAATAATTATATTACCACCATTTATTTATTTCAGAGATCTGACTCTCTTATCAGTGTCGGTTAAGTCCAAATAGCTTCTTTTCTATTGCTGTAGATTCTCAAATATTTTTAAATATAGGAGGTCATAAACTATGGGTCTACAATCCAAGAGGGAGTATAAGAAAAAATATTTTTTTATATGTATATATAAAAATAATAAAACGGAGTAAATATTTCCTATAGCTATAGGAGACTCACTGAAAAATTATTTATGGGGACCCAGAAATATTTAGGCCGACAAGGCCCCTTACATTCTCTTAATAATGCCATCGATTGTCTATTTTTATAAGAAAAGATAAAAGCAACTACATTTCGTGACTTAATTGAATTGCGTTAAAGTATTATTAACTGGGAACAGTTCATCAGATTTTTGATTTCACAATACAATTTTCCCAGAAAAACTGCGTTCTTAACATTAAGCATGTATTTTTAACATAATATTATACATTGGAAAATACTAGGCAAAAAAATATAAAAATACTACTTTTGATTATCACTTTTTTTTTTTTTGCTCAAAACCTAATTAAAAGACCAACCAATAAATTATCAAATCATCCAATCATTTTTGAAAGGGATCTCCCATAAATACGTTATTGACCAATTATATAAATTGCTTTAGAGAAAAAGTAAACTAATTATCTTAGTTAAATTAAAAATTATAATTAATAACCAAAATATTAACTATAAAACAATTTATTTTTAGATATGGCCTATTAGGACCTAGTGGTTGTGGAAAAACCACTTTGTTAAACTCCATTATGGGTTTTCTGACGTTAGATTATGGTACAATAAATGTGCAAGTAAATTCTCTTTTAGACATTGGGTACATGCCTCAAGTGAGCCAATTTAATATTTATAGTAGTTATTTTAAAGTAATTTTTAAAAAGCATTTTCAAGTAAAATTTTAGTTTAAAGTAAGTTTATCTTATTATATCCACTTGGTTAGAAATAACACAATTCATTAATTAAACAAAGTAGAAAATATTTTATTTTCAAAAATTGCTTCATTATAAATATTTTACGAAAAAATGATGTACTGAATTATTTTTTTATTTATTTTGTGACGTACTATTTTATTGTAGAGTTTTAGTCTTGATCGATACCTCACTGCAAATGAAACTCTGATTTACTTTGGAATGCTCTACAACATGGACGAAAAAATGATTGAAAACAAAACGTTAGAACTATCGAACTTATTAGAACTTGATTTCTTGGATTCGTACATTAAAGATTTAAGGTAAACTATTAGGTATACTAATAATAATTTATGATAAATAATTATTGCGATATCTAGCACCAACCCTGACACTCAATTATTGTTTATTTTTCATTTTATTTAGTTGCTAGTTCTGACTAATTAATTATTTAAATATTAAATTTAGTACAATAATTTTCTTCGAAATAATGTATAAAATAATATTTTATTGGAAAATACTAATTTTCAGCGGAGGGCAATGTAGAAGAATTTCATTAGCAATAAGTTTATTACATGATCCCAAATTGATTATATTAGATGAACCTACCGTAGGTCTTGATATAATTCTGAGTACTAAGTAAGTGCTGAAAAAAATGAATTTGTATCATTAAAAATAAAACCTTATATATTTAGTATCTGGAACCGATTTGTAGAGCTGTCAAAGTTCAATGGAAAAACTATTATAATAACGACTCATTACATTGAAGAAGCTTCTCAGGCAGATAAGGTACGTGTAATGTTTAAGGTTCCGACGAAAGCTAAGCGAGTATAATGTTCATGGCAATATGATTTACACCATGTTATTCATATTAATCCAATATTATTTTTTCATCTCATTATTAAAATAATAATAATTAATTAAAAAAGTAAAAATAATTTTTTTTTTACTGTACAGCTTACATAAATATAATTTTATTAAATATTTCAATAGTCTATTTTTGTTAGATTGGTTTTATGAAAGATGGAAAATTATTAAACGAATGTTCTCCACGAGATTTATTGGAAAAGTATGACACTGACTTACTAGAAGCTGCTTTTATTAAACTTTGCCAAGAATCCAATTCACAAGTAAGTTTATAAGTCATATGCTAAATATTATACTTAATTTGATATATTAATTTATTTAAATGTATTATTTCTACTAAAAACCTACGCCCTTAAATGTGATACTGTATATTAATTTCAACTAATATTTAACTATATTACAAGACAGAAATCGAGAGTAACACTTTTCAATATTCTAAAACGACAAACAACTTGGTAGAAAATAATAACTCTCATATCTCAAGGCACAGAATAAAAGCTCTTGTAAAAAAAAACTGGTTTATTCTCTTCAGAGATTTCATGTAATTTACTATAGATTTATTTATTTTGCAAATTACAATAAGAAACAATTTTAATTATTAAAATAATTCAAATTAATATTTTACAGTTTTTTGTTTATTACATTTATTTTACCTATTTTCCAAACATACATTATGAATATAACATCTGGAACTCCATTTGAGTATGTTGATATGATTTTATTAAATAATGAAGTAAACATGGCACGTTGCACCGAAATGCAGTTCAATGAATGTATTTATGAAGATAACATTAATGAAACGATGAGTTGTGGCATTATTAATTACCTGAGATCGAAAAAATATAATTTTGTTAGTAAATACAATTGTCATTTCAATTTGTTCAGAAAAATTGAAGTGTTATTATATTATTTAAAACTGGAAAATTATTCATTTTAGGTTTATACCAATGACGAACATGAAGGTATAGAAGCGGTAAATAAAGGCCGTGCAGTTGCATTTATCAACTTTTATCCAAACTTTACTAATGAATTGCAACTTTACGCGAAACGCAGTGATAATTATTCCCAAGAATTGTCTGCAGCTGTTTATTTGGAAAAAGGAAGTAAGATGATATATAAATCCTTGTAATCCAATTTATACGTAGCTTTGTTAAAACTTTGTCATGTGCAACACTGGAATACCTTCAGACACTATTAAATAAATAATAAAAAAACCCTATTGGAGAATATTTTTTTGAGTTTCGAGAACAATAATATCATTTAGGTATAATTCGGATTATTTTGTCGTATTACTCTATAATATTGGTCCACTAACAGCTGAAAGAAAGTTAGTAGGTAACATAAAAAACATAATTTTTGTAATCTCCCTTGCAATATTTATAGATGTTAATTATTTGTATAGATGAATAATCATTAACTTGAGAAATAATTATAAAATTTATAATTGTTTGATAAGATATTCTTCACTATATTTAATATTGTGAAGAATATCTTATCAAATTTTACTTATAATTTTTATTAAATATCAGTGTATTATTTTATACTATAACTTTAGAAACTATAATTTCATAAACATTGATAATGAGGAGTTTTATGCTCACTGCTGTGCTTTGACTAGAACAGATATGTGGTCAACAATTTTTTTTTTTCATTTAAATAGGAAAATAAATTAATAATTAAGGAAACTATCATTTAGCAAAACGTTCATGTCTATTATACTTTTCTAGATTTTTTAATTAAGCAACAAGTATATAATGACATTTATAAAGGAATGGAATTGTTTTTGGAAAGATCAATGACAAAATGTTCATATAGTAAAAATTTAAAACTTCTTCCGATGGTAGGTTTTATTTTTAAATGCCTAATATTTCATCACTATTAATCGATAAGTTGTATATATTTTTTATAAAAAAAAATAATGGAATTTCATACAATAAATACTTAAATAAGTTTGAATAAATGTGTCTTAATATATACCTGGATGTAATAATTCCCATACGTCTACATGATATTTTTAAGATGCACGTTATTTTACACATATGTAGTGTAATTTTGACACAAGGTACCGAGAACTCGTATACAAATTAAATATTTTTACCACTACTCTTACAATATTTCTCTTACATTGTATACGTTAAAGACTTCCATTATATGTAAGTGTAAAATTTTAACATTTTTTGTAAGAATGCGCTAAAAATCATAGTATACTAATGTGACTGTATATTAACAGAATGTGGCAAGATTGTTTGGTGACAGAGTACAGAACATGAAACATGAAGCAATAGCTAGATTAATCAGTCTGTAAGTATTTTATTAAACGGGAAAATTACAGAAATGGTATAATATTTTTCATGTTAGTGAAAAAAATTATCTTGTTGTTTCTTATGTGCAGGCAGTATTAAGATTTCATAAAGAAATTCCTTTAAAGTTTACCAATCATCTTTTTAAATTAAAACTAATGTATATCATTTTTAGATTCATGTTTGTATTCTCAAGTATGTACTCGACAGGCTTTATGTTAAGTGTAAAGTTAGACGGTACACTAGTTCGATCATTGGTAGCAGGTAAATAAAAAAAAATTACTTTATCCTATTGAAAATTGTAAAAGGATATTTTATTTTACAGGTGTAACAATGCAAGAAGTAATGATTTCATTACTTATTGTCACTGCAATAGCGAGCGCCCTTCAAATTTTAACTATGATGTTCATATGCTATGTCTGCTTTTATAATCCATTTGCAATATCAGCAAGCCTCTTCTTAATTTTTATCGTCTTCATAGTCGTTTCTAGTACCGGATTTTTATACGGTAAAATTTACTCAAAAATACACGTAAATTTATGATTATTTTATTGTACATACATTTATTTTAATATTTAATGTCAAACATAATTAAGGTATAATATAGTTTGATAACTTATGAACATAATAATGACCTTTCAAAGATAGTACATTCCAAGTGAGGTACATTCCACTTGTTTTAGTTTAAACATTTTCAGTGCATAAAATTGCTACAAAATACCTAGAAAAATCTTCTTATTTTTCCTCGTCTTAATCTCAACTACTTGGAGTCGGCCAACGTTATCCTAAACATCAACTTGACACAATCTCCCACATCAGCCGTCCTCATATCGCATTCAATAACATTCCTTCATTTCTTTTTTGGTCTTCATCTACCTCTCCCTTAGTCGAAATTCATTTCTATAACTGTTTTTATAGCTTCCGATTTCTCTCTCCTCATAATGATGACCAAACCATCTAAGTCTATTTACTCTTATCTAGTCCACGATTGACGCTACACCTATACTCCCTCTTATATGTTCGTTCCTTATCCTATCTTCCTTAGTCACTTCACTTACCCATCTAAGTATTTTCTAAAAAAATCACATCATTTCTAATCATTTTTTAATATTTAATAATTATTTAAAATTTATTCGTCAGAAATAATTTTTTTTTTACTTCTCTAACATATTTTTTGCTTCAGGAGGATTCTGATCTTAATCATAGTTAAATATAGTGATAAAACAATAACATCCTATAAAGCTGTGTTATATTGCACTTTTTAAATTTTAGGCTTGCTATCAGCTGGATTGTCAAACAATAATACTGAAGCCACTTTTTTGTGTATTGGATATATATTAAGTCAATTAAATATTGGAGGTATATATTAATTTTTTCTATAATAATTAGATGGTTTATTTTAAATAAAAACTACATTAATTATTAACATTAAATGATATACAAGATGATCAATAAACAAAAAACAAATCTATAAACTTTTTTTTAACACTGTTTTTATCTTAGAAACCAAACAGTTATATTTTTAGAATTATAATGAGCTGCTTTAGATAATAATTATTTGTTACAACAGGTTAAAAAACTTATCTTTTATAATAAATGTCAGTTAAAATTTGGTTTTGAAGTACGATACTTGAAGAAATTGAATTAATAATGAGCAGAAAAAAGAAAATTTCTCAAAAAATATTTAAATATTGTGTCCAATAGTACCATGCTATTTGACATAAAATATCTATGAGCCTTAATTTATACAGGGAATAAAAAAAAAATACAAGCTATATAACCAACGTTGGGCATTAATGGTTTAAAAAAATAAAACGTCAAGTTTATTAGTTTAAGATAGGAAGTTCGTTACATTTTTATTGATTTAACTTTTAATTTAACAAGTTACTTTTACAAGTTCAAATATCTGTTAACTTGCCTTGTACATAACTCGTATACATAAAAAAACTGTTTCTATATTTCTATAATGCCATATACTCTTTTTTTATTAGCATCTATACATTTATTCACTTCAAGTCTCCAATACTGATTTTGAGAGTGTAAAACCGTTACTTTAAACAATCACTGAACTATTAACTAATTTAATCGATCTAAATATGTATGTCAAGTATTATAGTGTTGCCTAAAAGTAAAAAACTGTTTTAGGTATAATATGGCCATTGGAAAGTCAAAACTGGATATTTAGAATTTTTAGTGAAAATCAAATTACTACACTTGGTGGTCGACTTATGAACAATATATTAATAAAATCTTTGCCCGTTACTCATCCATTACTACTGATTGATTTTGTAAAATCATTTGGAGTATTATTTTTCCATATAATAGGAGTTTATTTAATAAAATATGTTAAAAAAGACGCATGGGATGTACGCAACAATTAATTATAACGAATAATCACATATTTATACATGATATATATATTTCATACAATTGTACAATATAATAAATAAAATATGTAAATATTTAATACTCTTTATCTTCTTTAAACCATTTTAATTTTATTAATATTCAAAATATTAATGTATACTTAAGATAAATGTTTGCTTCGATGCTAAACTATGAAGGTATTATATTATAATGTTGTGTGTTTTTTATGTTTGTCTATAAAAATTCTCAGTTCTCATTGAACCGATTTTAATGATCAATATGACAAAAGAACCCGATTTTAATCTAACTAATATTTGATTAATAAGATTAAAAGCGCCAAACATTTGAAAAAGACATTTTGTTTAGAAATTTATAATTATATCTCAAAATACGCCACCGTAAAAATAGTATTTTCAAAAATCTTATTTCTGTATTTTAAAACTGACACAAATTTTTATTTAAAATACTGTTCCAAATGGAATTTTAATAGAATAGATTTTTGAAAATGTTTTGGAAGGTCGACAACTTTTAACCAATATTATCAAATTAATGCTTTTGAAGTGTACTACATTATTTAAAATATATTTGTCTTGAAGATTGTTTTACTATGTGAAATCGGCCGCCAATGAAAAAAATAATGTTACCTTTAATTAAGCAAATAATTTAACTTTCATTCGGATGAAAATAAACCATCGGAATTGTAAAATTAAAAATATACAAATTTTGAAATTGAACAGATTCACATCGAAGCGTTTTTTTTTTTATAGTAATGCTAATCACTGTCAGATATCATCTATACTTCTACGCCCCAACTTTGCAACATCTCCTCTTTGCAGCAACTCCATACTAATGGTTTTTATGAATGTATTAATTTTTAAATTAATACAATAAGTTGATACAACATGTTCATAATCGTGAAATCGAGAGCATTTAAAGAGGGAGGGATTCAAAAGTTAACATTTCTCGCAACGAAAATAATTACAGATTAATTTTTAAAAATACAATTTAAAGAATTATTAAAAATAATTCTGTTGTATAACCTTACTATACGAAAAAACCAAGAACACGGAAATTCGTTGTAATGTTAGAAGGAAATATTGTGGGCATTAGAAATTTACACATATAAACTGTTCAGTAAGTAGAGAAATGGATTTCTATTGTTCTCATTGTTTGTATCAATTGCCCCTTTCTTTACTTTTTGAACACTCTATATATGTGTACTGAATTTGTTTAGAATGATTAATTATTTAGGTATCTCTCAAAGAATCTATAAGACTTCTTCTTTACGAATTACTGTGGCTCCTCAATTTGCATGCATTTATATAACTTCCTAATTTTAAAAATTACTCTGGCTTCTCAATTTATAAACACTTATAAGTCTTCTTAATGTGTCGATAAAAATGATCAAGACAATATGAGTAATGCTGCGAGGAAAAAGATGCAACAAAATTGACGTAAAACAGAAAATACGAATAAAGAAACCTGTACATAACATACGGATAGGACTTATGTTGAAGGTAAAGTATCTACGAACAATAATTTTAACTATCGATACTGAGGAAGTAAACAATAAATATGAATTAAGTTAAAAATTAAGAGACATAGTTGAAATGAAAGGAAATATTGAAGATGATGAACTTAAAATAGAAGACTAACAATGATCAAAATTAAGTATTGGACATAAGTAACAAGACAGTTCCATTCAAGGTTGAATGTGGTTTATAAGAGAATAGCCAGTTTATGACGTGCTAAATTTAAAAAGAGGTGAATCATGAGAATTGTTATAATTTAATTTGTAATTTTAAGGTTATGATACAATTAAAATTTTTATCATTATTTAATCTAATTATTCCCGTTTAAAAAAAACGTACGTATTATTTGAACAATCATTATATTTTAACATTTTGTACGTAGCATTTATATCTGTATTATTCCCATATAAATATATATTTAAAATTAACATATTGAATTTAAATATTATACTATTGTTCGTATGGTATAATCATATAAAATACATCAACTTAATCAAATAGCAGGATATCTATTTTAAACATTTTTGTTTATCGAATTTTAATAATAGTTCTGTAAAAAAAAATTTGATCAGCTGTTTATTAGTATAATTTATGTTTGTTTTTTTATGTAAATCTAACGATAATTTATTTTTACTTTATTTAATGTACTTATATATTTTGGATGTACTTTTTAAAAATAATTCTTGGTTTCAAATCAAATAGACGGATTTAAGTAAACGAAATATTTAAATAAATTTTTTCCAATAATTTTTTTATTTATGAACATTATGATATTAAAATAAAAGTTTTACTCTTCTTCAGTAAACAGAATATTAACAATAGATATATTTCTTTCGTTTTGAAATATTTAAAACTACTAATTTCATTCTATATACTAGTTAATTAATTTTATAAATTTTACGTTAATAATTTTAAACTTGATTACATTGCATTACATTCATTCTAGTCATGGTACTTAATTATCAAATAACATTTATCTATGGACTCAACTGTGTTAAACAGTAATTTTTAGCTAATTTCAGACAACAATTAGAAATATAACTTACAAAAATAGAAACAGTGTTACTACTTATGCAACTGTTAATATAAGGATTTTATTTTAGATGTATCATCATTAGACCAATCATGAATTCTATTTACAAATTTGGCTATTAATAAAAGTTACTGCAATCTGATGTTTTTTTTAAAACACTAAAATTCTTACAAATACATCACCATGTAGGACAATTGGAATAATGAAATACTAAACAAATAATAATAAATTGGTCTTTTATTTTTCTTATTTTCTGTCTAAATTTGTACAGAATACTATATTGAACACTATACATTAATAAACAAAGTACTTGATACTACATAGCACAATATTATAATTTATCGGGGAAATGTATTAATTTAAATAAACATAAATAATTATTAAATAACAATAAAATTAAAATTTTTTTCTATCTATTAGGTATAAAAGACATGTTTAGATTATACCTTATTGATTTACCTATATGATCCTAATGAAAAAAAATTAACAAAAATTTAAAAGTAATATTTTCTACATACTATTTTGTACAAAATAGATAAGAACAAAGTTAACACTTAAGAAAATATTAAGTAAATACAATACTTAAAATATACATGTAAAAAATTTTATACTATGTATGAAAGATCTTTCTTATGAGGAGTGTTTTATAGTTTTAATTTGTACACAAAAATATTCACAAATGGCGTCAAAAATATTATATAGTAATGAATAAAACCTTGCAATCATGGTAATCTCTTTAATATCAAAGAACAAAGAATATGCAAGCAGCAAAGCTTTCACTAAAGCATAAATTATGATAATCAGCTTAATCAGGTCATAGTAATCAGTTAAATGTTTAATTAGTGCTTAAATTACAAATTTTCATGTTTTTTGCTGTCAATAAAAATTTTATTAGTAGATTTAAATTAACTCTGTTTTATACGCTAGTGTTTATGCACTAAGTTAAAATAGTATTACAAATTACATTGAAAATAATTATCACAAAAAAATGTTCAATTTACGATGGATAACATTATAGTTTTCTACACCTAATGAACACCAAAACAGAGAAGTTTTCATTTTGCATAATTCACTAGTATATAACTTCGTAAACTGTAGCTTTCTTGTCACCAGATCCAGTTACAATATACTTATCATCAGCCGATATATCACAACTTAAAACTGATGAAGATTCTTTAGACTAAAATAAAAATAACAACATATTTTATACATATATGAGCAAATAAAGTTAATCAGTTTGAAATTTTTTTAATATACTTACTTGGAATATAGAAGCTCCATAGGGTGTACGCCAAGCATTAAGCAAATTGTCTTTTCCAGTTGACACAAACCATTTGCCACAAGTAGCAAATCGTAAAGATAATACACAAGACTCATGCAAATGTAACTGATATTTATCTGGTTTCATAGCATGTAAAACTTCTACATTTGAATTTTCCATACCAACAGCTAACCATTCTCCAGTTGGACAGTATCCTAATGAGAATATCTGTAAAAAAATATTGCATAAAAACTAGAGAAATTCAAATCCCTTAAGAAATAGTTTTTCCTAAATTATATAAAAAATATTATGAATCATACCTGAGAAGAGAAATCGTGTTGTTGTAATTGACGACCTTCTCTTAAGTCCCAAGACCTAACAGTATTGTCAAGACCACCCGTCCATAATTTAGATCCATCTGAAGAAATATCTATACAAGATGCTCCATCAGTATGTCCCTGGAACTGCCTCACCAAAGTTTGATTATGTAAATCCCACACAGCAATGTTACCGTCAGAGCAACAGCTAAAGCATACCTAGAAAAATATATTCATATGAGCAAACTTTTCAATTTCAATAAAAAAACGTTTTATTTGAATTTACCTTTGAGTCAGGACTTATTGCTAAAGCATAACATGCTGGAGCACTGGAAGTCAACTCTGCTTTTATTCTGGGCGTTGGAGATGCCAAATCCCATATACTCAAATTACTAGCTTCTCCTCCAACAATTAATGTCCGACCGTCAGGTAAGAGTTTAACAGATCTTATATAATTATCACGTTGCTATAAAAATAAAATATTAGGGTATTTATTATCAAAGAAATTTTATAACATTTTACATACCAAGCAATCTAATTGAGATACTGGAGACTTAGATCCTGGTTGACTAATATCCCATACTTTAACGCAGCCTTTGCCGCCAGTGTAAACATATTTAGTGGGGTTGCTGATAGTAACAGCACAGACTACTTCTCCATGCCCAAGTGTATTAATCTGACGGGCGTGTCTTGGGATACCTGGACCCATCAGAGCATCGGGTGGAAAGGGCACTGGTTGCATTTGACCTTCTGCACTTATGTGAAATGAATAGGCTCTGTAATATTTTAACGAAACATTCATTCATAGTGTACAGCAGAATAATTTAATTACAGCATAAAAATAAATAAACCTACGGTTTTCCTCCAGGAATACCTAAACCAGGTCCAAGAGGTGCTCTCATTTGTGCATGAGGATCATATCCGACCTAAAAATAATAATAATGACTCATACTCAACTTATTTACAGCATAAATAAATAAATTTTACTTACCAAAGCCGGTCTGGGGTAACTATTCAATGCGGCTGCTGGTGGTAAATTATTGTGCAATGCACCATAAGCTCCAGCGGCTGCTGCAGCGGCCTGAAGTTCATGAGGACTTGCTCCACCAGCCAAATAATGTGGATATTGAGCTAATATAATAAATAACACATTTTCAATGACACTTAATTTACATTGTAAAAGTTAACAAATAAATTGTCCATACCTAATGAAGGTCCTTTGGCAATTGGTTTCATAGAAGAACCTGCCGCTCCACTACACCCACTACCACCACTAGTCGGAGTGATAGATTTAGAAATGGGTGTACTGGGTTTATCTTCCATTTTCTTTGTAGATGGTGTACTAGCATTAGATGATGTCCCGCTTCTTGGACTGGTAAAAATAAATTAATGAAACGTTTATTAATTTTTCAAAATTCGAAAATGTATAAAATAAACGAATTACCTATGCGGTCCAATGTGATCTTTTTTTGGTTGTAACTTGTCAATTCCATTTTCTCTGGGTGAATTAGTGCCATTTAAAGGAGATACAGGGTCCTATAAAAAACGAATAATGTTATATAATAAAACACCACTACAAATAATTTTCAACATTGTAAATCTTTTGACTATATAAATGACTAATTAATTAGAAAATTAGACGAACCTCGCTGGCGTCGTCAACGACTAGATCCTGATCGCTTTTTTCACCATCACTAGCCTGTTAACAATAAAAAAAAAAAATAAAAAGCATTACGTTAGCATCGTCATGGACCATGGTGATAATATTTATGTAGGGTAAAAACGACGTTAGAAATAATAAAAATAAATTATGTTCGAAACGCAATTTAACGACTCAAATAAAGTCTGCACATGATCGCGTAAAATTTTATTACGCTAAGAGTAACTTTTGCATACTTACATGACAATCTTTTTCTTCTTTTTTCACCTTCTTGTGTGGTTCGATATCCGGCGAACTCCTAACGCGAAATTTCTCCCTTTCCGCTGGCGATATCGAGTTCCTCTAAAAAAACAAAATGATATAAGTATTATGGCGAGCTCCCTTATACATAAACCGTTAATCTAACATCGACCAGCACGTCGAAATCATAAGAGTCAATAATGGTTTGGGTACCGCAAAAAAACGGATATATTCATAACTGTATAACGGCAATAACGGTACTACTGCATGTAGAGTGGTTTGTTTTTACCCCAATATGCACGTAAGTTAAAAAAAAAAAAAAAAAAAAAA